TTTTTTTTTTTATTTCAATGAAAGTTGGTCGAATTTCACATGATAGTTATTAGCGCGAGAAACAGGCGAGCGTTTGAATCGCGGGATCGCAAAGAAGAAGAATCGAACTGAATAGCACGAGGAGATAGCTCCGTTACAGTCAAACACATTGCACTGCACCTTCACTTGGTCGTGATAGTATAGTCGGAGCGGCTGCCTTCGCTATACTACGTTGTGCTGCTGACCCAAATGAATCCTGTGACCAGTCAGTCCCGATCCGGGCTTCTTCGCGGCGATATTGCTCGCTCGACAGCTGCTATCGCGTAAACGTGCTCCTTCTTCACACATCAAGTTAAATGACAAACTTAAACAATTTTGCTCACTCTATCATTCACGTACTTCGATGATCAGCCGGCGTATCGGTGCCCATATTGTAACAAGAACTTGATGGCCCGGTGAAATTCTAAGGGCACACCAAACAGTGAAAGTTCCCAGTCGATTAACTACGTACGAGGTGGCAGATCTTTCGGTTAGTTCGTTTACTCAGGAAAATGCTTCATAGTGTTCAAGCTCGACGTGACATCAAAAAAATTCATAATACAATAATGTGTGTATGAATCGACTTGTTCACAATTCCTCGCGGCAATTGTTTCGTTTTGAAAGTGTAACGGAGAGGAGATTGGTTTCCTGGATTGGAATTTAGTACGATTCGTTGACAAGTCGTAAAATACGCAGTACGTTGGACCAGAACGATTTGAAGCCGAGGATGCCAGCAGAGGCGGAAGCAAAAACGTAGAAATAGCGTCGCACCGGCCACGAGGATCCGATTGATCGAGATCGCGCGCATCCGCAGGTTCCGAATAGCGATGCGGTTGCATTCCACGGCGAGGATAGTTCCGCATAATCACTAACACTCTGCAGTGAGTATCGAATTTCGTCTTTTATTTATTTTACTCGTTTCGTCAAATTTTCATTTCTTCGATTACGGTTTGATTTTAATCCCTTTTCCCCTTTGATTTCCTCGACTTCTTTAATCTCTCTAATTTTAATTCTCTCTC